TTTAACTTTACAAATTAAAATATACTTATAATACATAATACTTCTTCCCTATAATCAATTATTTTTAAAAATATTAAATTTGTGTAATTTTAATGTTTTTGTGGATTACAATAACAAAAACCAGTGTTTCTGGGTTAAAAATATTCAAAGAGCATTGTTCCCTACTTCATTCTCTTTTTCAGAAAAAAACAAAAAAATAAAAAAATAAAAAAGCATTATTCTCTGAGGAAAGCAAAGTTCTTAGAATTGATCAAACAATGTTAGTGCAATGTGGATCCACTTGTTATCTCCTGAATTTAGTGAAACTGCTTTATAACTTTTTCTTCGAATTCACGAGAAGGCATAAAGGCATAAAGGCTGGCTATAATGCATTTTGACCAATAATAATAATAATAATAATAATAAACCAAGCTCCTATGGTTTTCTCCTCAACAAAATTTGTTTGTGAGTGGGTTTCATGACGTTCATTGTGCAAATGACTGCATGATTATGTCACTATTTCTGTCCTTTTCTTAATATTTTATCAAAAAAAAAAAAAGAAGGGGCAATTACAACATTGTTTCATAAAGTCTTCTCAACTTACCAACACGCACTATTTGTGGTTGTAAAAATGAAAGAATTAAGTACTTCAATAACTCAACTACAAATTCGATCGAGATTGACTATTGAGATGGCCACATGGGTTTGGTTCATAGATGCAATTACAAGAGCCAAGAGGTGGGGATGGGATTGGAAACCAGCCAAACCACATGAGAGGAAAGTGGCAAAAGGTGGTTTGCGCATGGTGTAAATAGCTTCCCTTTTTTTTAGGAAGGTTTAGGTAAGTTCTTTAAACCTTGATTATATATATTGATAGATCAATGGCTGGAATCTCTATTTATGCTAAACATATTCTTTAAGGGAAAGAAAAATAAAAATAACATATTGGATTTATTTCAAATTAAGTAAGATATCAAAAACTTCTAAATCTTTCTCATCAAATATTAATTAATTAAGCACTTGTGATTTTTTTTTTTTGATGGAATAAGCACTTGTGATTTTAGTCGTATTGGTTAAGGTGCATTAAATTCTTAATAAATTTTAGAATTTTATTTATTGTAATATCAATTAAATTATCTTTCTTCTTTTAAAACCTCTCATGTTCAAAAGAAAAAAACATTATTTAATTAAAAGCTCAAAAATTAGTCATTCAAAGATTT